GGGAGTATGGGATGGTGTACCTGGGGAAAGGTGAGCTGGGGGGCTGGGGGAGGGGAGTATGGGATGGTGTACCTGGGCAAAGGTGAGCTGGGGGGGCTGACGGGGGGTGAGGGGAGGATTGGGGGGCGCAGCTGGAGCATGGGTTGGGTGCACTGCCAGCAGAAGGATGCATTCCCACTTTTCCATCACTTTTCCATGGACACACGGCTTTTGGAGGGGAGTGAGGTCCAGCCCTGCTCCCTCTGCCCCAGGAGCTTTCCTGGGCTCAGCTGAGGGGGTTCTTTAGCATGAACCCAGCTGGAAAACCACCCGTGACTTCTTCAAGGGGGATGGAGTGGGATGGTGGAGGTGTTGGGATGCACTGTTGGCAGCAGAAGGATGCATTCCCACTTTTCCATGGGCCCCAGCTCTGGGAGGGGAGCGGTGCCCGGTGCTGGTCCTGGTGCAGAGCCAGAGCATGGCCATGCTCTCTGGAGCTCCAGGCACATGGCATCGGGTGAATTCCCACAGGTTTCCCTTTTCCGTCCTTTTTGTTGTTATAAATCCCTTGCTTGTCTGTGGCTGAGATTCCCAAGAGGAAGCAGCTCCCCTGGATGGGTTTTGGGGCTCCCACTCCCTGTGGTTGCCCCTCAGCCATTGCCCGGGCTGGTGGGAGAGAGGCTTGGAGGTGACCACATCCTGCTGCCAGCTCTGCTCCTGCTCAGAATTCCCTCAGGACTGCAGAAGGGGGATGAGATTTCGGCATGGGTGGGTTCCTGGGAAGGGAATGCTCACCAGCTGGTCCTCCCAGTTCCTGGGGCAGTGGATGCCCCAAGTGACCCATGTGCCTTCAGTGGGATATTTGGGATACAGCCAGGGCTCAGGCACAGCTCCTGTCCCATGGGGGGCCCAGGGACCTCTAGCTGTGGATGGGGAGGGAGGGAAGGACCAGGAGCGGGCAAAGGGCTGGGAAGGAGCTTGGGGGCTGCTGAATTTTGGGGCGGTGTCCCCGGAGCCCTGGGACAGACCGGGGGGGTTGGGTGCCCTCGGCCCCACATCCCTGTGGGCTCTGCTGCCGTCCAGGGAGGGGCTGGAGAGGGTGAGCGGGTGCCATGAGGCATCCTGGTCTCCAGGTATGCTCCCTGTGGCACTCAGGGCCTTTCCTGGCATGGCTGTGGCACTTGGGAGCCTTTCCCACAGTGGGAGCAGGAGGCTGGCTCTCCTGGCTGGATTGTGCTCGTGGCCACATCCAGGGCTTTTCCTGAGGCAGCAGCACAGCTGGAGCAGTGGGGTTTTCCTGGAGGCCCAGGAAGGAAGGGGGTGGCCCATGGTGGGGGCAGAGGCTCCCGGATCCACCCCGCAGAGGGTCAGTGGGTGTGCCCGTGGCCTCACAACCCCCTGGGAGGCTGGAGCTTGTTCCTTGGAGGATTTGGGGCTCAGTTGGATGTGGCTAGGGCGGGCAATAGCCTGCTTGGACCCCCTTTCCACCAGCACCTGGCTGCTGTGAGGACATTCCAGAGCTGGATTCCCGTTGCCGCTACATCCAGCACACTCCAGGCAGCATCTCCTGTGTCCCCCTGGGGTCCCACTCCAACACAGGAACATGAGACCCCCGTGGTCCCCAGGCTGCAGGAAAGGGGAATGGGACCCTATGAGCTGCCAGGTCCCCTGAGACCACAAGTACCTGGATATCAAAGTTATCTCCATGCTCAAGGAATGCTTGGACAAGGCTCTCGGGGACATGGTGGGATCCTGGGGTGTCCTGTGCAGGTCCAAGACTTGGACTCATGATCCCAGTGGGTCCTTTCCAGCTCAGGACATTCTGTGATTCATTCCCGAGCTTCCAGCTTGCTGGGGGTCTGGGAAGCCCTTTGGGATGGGGATCCCCCCTGGAGAGGCAGGGATTGGAATCACAGTCCTTTAGGTTGGAAAAGACCTCCAGGATTGAGACCAGCCTTTGATTTTGGAGAGCTGCTGCTCTCCACTTCCCCCCAGAGCAACCCTTCAGCCTGGGCAGGCCCTGGAGACACAGTCTGGGACAAAAAAAAAAGCTGGAGAAGGTTTTGCTGTTGGCTCTGTGGTGCTGCCTCATCCCTGTGCAGCCTCTCCGGCTACCGGGGCCTCCCCATCCCTGTTCCAGCCCAGCCTGGCAGGCGAGGAGGGGGAAATGAGGCAGAAAATGTTTCCTGATGAAATTTGTCAGGGTTTAAATGCTATAAATGTGGGAACACTGTGACGGTTTCCCTGGCAGCTGTGTGGCAGCTGCGTGAGGCTCCAGCTGGGGATTGCTCCAGCAACTTCCTACCTGGGATCACCTTGGGAATGCTTGCCAGGACTGAGGTCCGTGTCCCTCTGGGCTGCCCTGTGTGCCGGTGGCTGCTCTCCCTGAGTGCTCTGCTCTCTCCACAGACACGAGTGGTGAGAACATCGCCGAGTCCCTGGTGGCCGAAGGACTCGCCTCCCGTCGGGAAGGGATCCGGGCCAACAAGTATGTGTGGGGCTCCCGTCCCGAGGTTCTCCCATCCCGAGGTTCTCCCGTCCCGAGGTTTTCCCGTCCCAAGGTTCTCCCATCCCGAGGTTCTCCCATCCCGAGGTTCTCCAGGCAGGGAACCCTTGGGTCCCTCGGCTTTGGCCTGGCACCAGGCCCTGCTGCCCAGCTCCCTGTGGTGCCCGGTTTCCACGGGCATTCCCAGGGTCACAGTGTCCCATTGGGGTTGGCGTGTGGCTGGGCAGGAGGACCCGGCTGGCTCCTTTCCTGGGATGCCAAAGTGCCAGAGCTGTGTCCCTGGGCTGCAGAGCAGGGAATCTTCTGGAGCTCTTGGTCTCTGTACGGTCACGCCTGGTGTGGAGTTGAGGGCCTTTAATTCCTGCCGCAGAGGTGGTGGTGACATTCCTGCCCCTTGTCCTGCACCTGAGATCCCATTCCAGAGGTGTGGGTCAGTTCCAGGGCAGGGCCAGCCTCGTTTGTAGGATCAGGGAATCCCAGGATGGTTTGGGTTGAAAGGACCTTAAAGCCCATCCAGTGCCACCCCTGCCATGGGTAAGGACACCTTCCACCAGCCCAGGTTGCTCCAAGCCCCGTCCAACCTGGCCTTGGACACTTCCAGGGATCCAGGGGCAGCCACAGCTTCTCTGGGCAACCTGTTAAATATCCCTGAGTTTGTTGTGACAGCGCGTGGCAGGGCTGGTGTCGACACTGGGAGGGGATAGTTGCCGCTTTGGTGGCCCTTTGGTGGCCCTTCAGTGGCCGCCTGTGTGTGCAGGACTGGGCTGGTCCGTGGGCTGGCACAGCACGTGCCCGGGTTTGCCATCCCTCCTCCTGAACCTGCCCTGCCCTGCTGGGGGTCGGGAATGCTGCTGCCTTTCCATCGTGGTGCTCAAAGGCAGCCTCTGGAAGGTTCCCATGGGCTTGGTCCCAGCCCCCATTCCCACACGGATGGTGCCGGAGGATGCCAGTGGGATTCCCGGTGTGATTCCCGGCGTGATTCCCAGTGTGATTCCCGGTGTGATTCCTGGTGTGTCACTGCTCACTCGGGCAGTGGGGCTGGGAGCGATCACAGCACGGAACCACCCGGAAAATCACCCGGGAGATGGATGTTCCCGGGATAAACCCCGCGGGAGCCTCACTCCGTGTCCCTGTGCCCTCAGCCCCGAGCAGAGCCGGCTGGCAGAGCTGGAGGAGCAGGCCAAGAGCGCCAAGAAGGGGATGTGGAGCGAGGGCACGGGGTCCCACACCGTGCGGGACCTCAAGTACACCATCGAGAACCCCCGGCACTTCGTGGACTCCCTGCACCAGAAGCCAGTCAATGGTAAGGTGGCACCGGACAGGAGGGCACGGGGGCACCGTGTCCTCCACCCTCTGCTGCCCGTGGTGTCGGGCACCGGCTGCCCGTGCCTGGAGCTGTTCCCACGCTCCGGGCTCCGGCACGGCGGGACCGACGCGTGCCTCGCTCCGCAGCCATCATCGAGCACGTGCGGGACGGCAGCGTGGTGAGGGCCCTGCTGCTGCCAGACTACTACCTGGTCACCGTCATGCTCTCGGGCATCAAGGTGAGCCCCGGCCCTGGCAGGGCCCTGCTGCCCGCCCTGCAGCACGTTCTGTCTGTGATTGCCACCAGCGCTCCGGGTCCTGGCAGGAGGGAGGGGCTGCTCCGGTCCCTGCGGCTGCCCAGCTCAGGGGGGTGGAGCAGGGAGGGAGGGATGTCCCTGTCACCTGCAGTACCGGGCTGGGTGCAGCCCTGAGTGTCACCACGGGGATGGGGACAGTTTGGGTTGGGTGGGGACTGGCTCTGTGCTGCCAGGCCAGGCAGAGCCCGAGCTCTGGGCTGTTGGGCACCCTGGTTGTGATTATGCTGGGAGTTCATGGAATGGGTTGTGTGGGAAGGAACCTTAAAGCCCATCCAGTGCCACCTTCTGCCATGGGCAGGGACACCTTCCACCAGCCCAGGTTGCTCCCAGCCCTGTTCAGCCTGGCCTTGGACACTCCCAG